GGCGACGAGAGCGGGTCGTTGCTTGGAAAGTCGGTGAAGTATTAGCATGCTCATGTCACGCGAAGGGAACGAGCGTCGACTATTTGTACGTCGTTTAAGAGGCTCCTGTATTCTAGGAATCGCCATGAGCCGCGGAGAGCGAGATCGAAGTAGCGCGATATTTATAATGGTGCCTGTATCGATACCGTTTTCGTCGTTTCATTATTGATTTAACTGCACCGCTGCAAACGTCTAAGGCTTCAACGTTGCGGCAGTTATTAAGCTTCGACTTTAACTGCGCGTAGATGTGTGTGCGATATATAAAAACATACTTAAAATAGAAGCGTTTCTCGTACTCTTGTACGCGTACACACGTATCGTCCGACAAAGAAGTATAAAATAATTCCACATATAAAATCGACTATAAAATTTTTCGACAATTTTCTACGCTCTCTTGCTCTCTCTCTCTCTCTCTCTCTCTCTCTCTCTCTCTCTCTCTCTCTCTCTCTCTCTCTCTCTCTCTCTCTCTCTCTCTCTCGCTCTCTCGCTCTCTCGCTCTCGCTCTCGTTTATACGTATATATGAAAACTTTACTCCGACCTCGTTTTTAATAACACTCGCGCGGTTGCTCCGACCTGCCGAACACTCTTCGGCTAACTTGCATCAGCTGATAATTAAAAAAAACGCGCGCGCGCTGTCGCATGTGAATATTTCATGCTCCTTATCGCGATGCGAAGGGGACGCTCGCTTGATACACGAGTGCTATCTAACTGCTGATCGAATCAGATAAATAAAATATGCACGCCCTCGCGTCGGAAAATTTCGTGTTTCTTATCATAAACGAACGCGTCGTCGCGGGGACGGGACACTTGTAGTTATTTCAGCTGCGTAAACAAACGATAGGGAGAGGCAATTTCATCGATTCCGCGATGTCTCGAAGAGGGAAGAAGGGGAAGAAGAAGAAGAAGAAGAAGAAGAAGAAAAGGAAAAACAGAGGAAGAGAGGAAGAGCGAGACACTCATTATCAGGAGGTGACCTGGCAGTCATTCCGCGAAAGTTTGCACGACATTCTTCGTGTCGCGAGCTAAGGAGATGAAGAATTCACAGGAAAACACGTCGGCGCACGTGTGTGTGTGTGTGTGTGTGTGCGCGCGCGCGCGCGCGCGTCGGCCGGGGCGTCGAGAGCGCGCGCAGCGCGATTTATTGGATGAAATGCAAATTGAATCGTAGTTAGCGAGAGTACCGAGAAACGACGCGAGTAAATCGCGCCTCCGCTCCCCTGTCGCCGTCCCCAATCTCCGTCTCCTCCCCCGCCACCCCCTCACGTTACTACCCTTTCCGCGATCCTTCTCACCGCCGTTGCTGCTCCTCTCGCACCCTCGCCTGCTCGCGATTCCTTTCCCGTGTTCTCTTTCCGATAATTCGCGCATAAATTCACGACAAATTGAAATAAAAAGTGGGTCGATCGAAACGCAATTTAGCCGAATGCGGCTCGCTTGGCGGCCCGAGCGCGCTCGCCAAGAAGGAGCCCGCGAGATCGTTTGGTCCGGTCGAGAGGCAATCGCGCGCGCGGTACGATTTTCCCCGCGCCGTTAATTGCCTACTTTGCATCTGTTTCTGATTATCTCGCGAGCCCGAGACGGTCGTTACCGAATCGCCGACTCGGCTCTTCCTTCTTTCCTTCGTCGTGCCATTACTTTCGCATTCGCGAGTCCTCGTTGTTCGAGGCCGCAGCTTTGCTCGCGTCGCTACGTTGGCATTTCGCGCACGCGGTGCGCGAATCGATCGCTCGTTCGATCGGCGACGGCGACGGCGCTTTTAAATGCGGCTGAACCGGCGGCTCGTCTCTCATAACCGTCCCTCGCGTGTCTATTAAAAGGATATTCTCGTTACAAATATAAACGCCGCGCGAGAATCCGTATTTCGAGAACGGGGAAGCTTTCAGCGACGATTATTCGTCGCGACAGACGCGTGAATAAAATTGCGCTGCTCCTCGTAAATTTAAACACGAGGATATATGCGCCTGTCGATCCACAAGTGCGCGCACACGCACACGCGCACACACACACACACACACAGGTGCACCCTGTTCTACGATAAATCTACCTCTGTCTCTGGCCGCGTCCTTCCCCGATCCCTGTCGCGCCACCATATACTTCTATTCTGTCGCTCACAGGCACGAAGTCGCCGGAAACTTTGCGCGGTGTCTCGCTTTAATGCGGTGTAGATTCGCGTTGATTATACGCCAGATGCTTCATTACCGCTTTTCCCGGGCGGCCGGCGCGATCGTCGAACGGGGACGCCGCGGATTTATAGATCGCGCGTGCACAGCGCTCGTGCCGCGCGCGATGTAAACGATGTAAACGACGACCGATCGTCGGTCGCGAAGCCTGAGCTCGCGTGTACAAACTGCGCGTACGCACTCAGCGCGTGCGATTTTCGCGGCGAGGCACGCGTGCAAAAACGGCGTACACGTAAACGGCGTAATAGCGTATTATTATGCTCGCGAGTCGCGTCCGAGTCACCGCGATGAATTACGCGATAGTTAGCACAAGGCTGCAGTAAGAGTTAATCAAACATTGACGCCTGCGCGCAAATACAGAGAACCGACGGCGGGCGCGCGCGCGCGCGAAATATTTTTCTATCATTCATTTTTCGTCATTCGACTTTTCGACAGATTGATTTGTATCCGCTGTTTATCGGGGAATTCTCGTCAGGGGGTGAGGGTGGAGGAGCCGGGCGACAGCAGGGAGAAAAAGAGGGTTGTTTATTCGTGTTATATATATATATATATATATATATATATATAAATACATATATGTATGTACGTATGTTTATGTGTATGTGTGTGTGTGTGTACATTTATTCACGCGTATTTATTTACGGCTCAAGTGGATACTTTTTCGCGAAGTCGACAAATAAAATAAAATAAAATAAAGGGAAAAGCGAAACAGGAAAAAAAAGAATAGCAAAAATAACGGCCAATTGATTCGACAATGTCGAGGGATCGAAGTGAAGCGAATTACTATAGTATTCCTGCTGCCGCTACCGTTATTACTAGCCCGTCAACTGGAAAACCGTATTGAATATTGCAGCGAGCGTTACAATAGTTATAATCACTTTGAGTCAATTAAAGTACGCGGTGAAGATTGAAAAGCGTTAGCGTCAGCACAATGCACGACCGGTGAGCGATAACATCGTTCACATTCGCCGAGCGGCCCGAGTTCATTTTATAATTACTTTATTTAAACTTCCGCGCAAAGCCTGCCCTCCTCCCCACCCGGAAGTTCGGAAACCCGCGTGTGGCACTCGTTTAATTCAGCATGAAACAATTCAACGACCGTGTCAGGGCTCGGAGTAAAAGTAACGCTATTATTATCGAGATATCCGCGCTAATGGCGCGTCGCATCAATTGGACAGCTCGCGCCGTGAACGCTCGCTCATTTGCTCGCCTAGCTCATCAACGCGACCTCTGTCGCGGCACTCACCGTCGGAAAGAATCACGGAACGTTTGAGAAAGTGTCCCTGCTAATCGAGGAGTGCGCCGCGCGGCTGTGCGAGTTGCAAACGACGGAGGATCGATCGGTCCGCGATATTCGAGCTCGCGCTAATTAAATTGCAGATTAAAGCCGCGCGTTAGCGGCGATGAGAAAGAAGAACAAGAGGAAGTGGAAAAAGAACAAGCGGAACGCGAAAAGGAAGGAAACATACGAAAATACCAGATACATTCGCGAAGAGAGCCTTGCGACAATTCGACTACGTTGCAATTGCGGTGACGCTCTGCGGGTTTACCGATATCCGTAATCCACGTATTTACCGATATTTCCGCGTTTCGAATATCGATACCAATATTCCCTCGCCTCTGCTGCCTCTCCCTGAGCATACGCGGCCTCGGTACCCGGTAGCTATTAACTTGCACACACGGTTAATATTTATTATTCGAGCATATGAAAGGTACTCTCTCTCGAAAACATATTAGCTCGATAAAACAGCCGGGGCACCGGTGCGCCCTGCAGATTTCAAAAGATGCTACAGCCGAGGGATCGAATTTAACGCGTTAAATTGCCCCGGGTTATTTAATATAATACGCAACAAATAAAATTATAATTTATCCACAAAATACAATTCGAGGGAGTCCGCGCGAGGAAAACCTGCACGCGAATATCAGTACGTAAATCGCAACGCCGTATTTCATCTTGTCGATAAATAAATAAATTAATGAATACATGAACGAATACAAATGACTATCGGGATAATAAATTACCGACTGAATAACAAATAAATAATTGATCAAAGGTCTCTGCAGCGAGCGCGGGCGGAGCCCTGTTGTCGGTCGCATGCGTTTGACGTTCATCGGTTACAATTACGCTCGGTGCGCGTAATTAACGCGGAACACAAGCTCACGAAAAACGAGAAAAAAAAAAATAAAACGTAAAGCAGCTGAACGTCGAGAGAGATTCCGCGAGAGAGGGAAAGCACCCGCGAGCCGGATATTTCCTCAAGCCGGGCACCTTAGCGTCACCTCGAGAGAGCGCGGCGACGATCGGCTAATTTCAATCGCTGCTAACCGCGTGCTTGCGTGACGCCGCCGGCATCTTCACGCTCCGCATATCGAAGGCACGCCGCGAGAATTCGCGAATAGACCGAACGGAAACGCACGGACTCGAGCGCGCGCATTCGGAGATCGATACGTCGCATTCCGTTCTGATAACATCGTCGGTCCGACCGATTACTCATTGAGACGGAGATTATAATCTCATTGAGATGCAACACGGTCGAGGTACCGTACCGTACATCGCAAAAATACTCATCAACGCGAGAAGGAAGAGAAGAAGGAGGAGGAGGAGGAGGAGGAGGAGGAGGAGGAGGAGGAGGAGGAGGAGGAGGAGGAGGAGGAGGAGGAGGAATGGCTTCCGTTCGTGATTTAGCGTGCTTCTTATGAACGCGAGGAAATGTTTGCGACAATCTCAGCAAGACGCCGTCTGCTTTATTCCAGACTTAGGTCTAAAGCTTCTCACTTACCTCGCGGTCACGTACGAAGGACAAATACGCATCTCCGCACTGTGTCGACTGGCTCTCTGACCTGTAAACGAAGAAAACGGAGATATGAGACGGCGGTACTTATCAAGATGCGACGATCGTTATTTTTTAATTAAAAGATATTTATTGCGAGATGGAATATACGAAATTATAATATATTTAAATTACGAAAATGCGTTACATGGCGCTTCATTTTGAATTTTATCTTTTAATTATATAATTATATAATATATTTGTTAGAATGCGGTGTGTGAAATTATAATATGAAATGTGTGCGACGAAAGGAGCGTTACCATCGAGTTTCCTCGAGCCTCAACCACACGAATTCAGATCTGACCTCAATCTGTCACTTGTTTCGTTGTACCGAAAGGTGTATCGACAGACACCGAGGCCCGCTCGCGATTTATCGGCCTGTATGACACAGCGCTTCTGATCGCGGTGGGATGGTAAAGTCCCGGATAAGACCCGAGTTTCATTCGCGAAAGCCGGCACTCTCAGCATTTAAATTCCGCATTCGGTCGCAATAACGCCGCGGACGAACCAGGAACACAATAAGTGACGCCAGATGCTGCACGATACCTTTACTCCACTCCCGAAGGAACCGAGAATCTCTGTGGCAAAACTGCCCTCTCCCGTCCCCCTCGATCTAATTCCGCTCGGTAAGCAAGCTGCGACGCTCCAATTAGCAAATTCTTGCCAACCGGCGCGGATTAACAAATTCTCACACGCAATCCCGTGCCAAATGTCGCCCCACACCCGCTCGACGGCAGCGGCTTGCGATACATTTTAATTTGATACTCGCGCGCTTCTTTCCGCCAAGCGTGTAACATAAATACTGAACGCATACGCAGGTCGGCGGACTGTCGGCGTTTGAGCGACTCGTGCAGCGTCGCCTGCTAGCCGCGAATGTAATTATAATAATAAGGATGATGATAAAATAAATGGAAAAATATGAAATTTTCGGTTTGGCGCATGAAAAGGTGGTCGATACAAATAAGTAAAAGTAACAGAAAATATGAAAATAGAATATAAGAGTTTGAGAAGGATATTGCTAAAGAACGTGAAATTAAATAATCAAGTAGAAAGGAAAATAACGTTACTCGCGAGATGATGAAGCTAAATTAATTATAATATCCAATAAATAATAGCAAAAGATTAATTGCAAAGAGAAAAATAAAATAAAAATATGTAATAACGACAGTAATAAATAACAGTGCTGCGCGCTCTTCTAAATTATGTGAGAGCATATATACATGCATTGCTATGCGAGGATATTGTAAAATTAACGATTTAACAATTGATATTAAATAATAATTCATCGATATTTCGTGAATATTTGTTTCATGAAATCCCTTCGCTCTTTACTCGCTCAGGTTATACGGACGACTGACCTGACATCGCCCTCGACGTCTCTTTATATCAGAACTGTTACACGCAATAAAGTATATGCGTGAGAATTTCGCGATTATCAACGGTATATAGTTATAATTATTTTTTAAATAACGAACGTCCGCATGTACGTATGCAAAATGAACCACTAAAGAAAATTTAAACTGAGAAACCGGACAAGTCGGATAATCGGATTTGGGGTCACTGAATAACAATTATTTCGGATATTGAATTAGCCGGATTTTCTAGCTCTTTTGAACTATGTGAACTATGTGAACATTTAGAAAAAAATTTTCTCGAGAGATTCGAGCGGTAGTGATTTAATGTGACATATGTGCACATATGTGCATGTGTGTGTGTGTGTGTGTATATACATGTGTGCGATAAGTTATTCAAAGCTCGAAATGCAACGGGGTGAATGCGACAGCAGTAAACTAGGAATATTAATCGCATGAACTTAATATTTCATGAGATAGAATGTGTCGACTGCATTCCTATTTGAATATGCTCCTGTAATGAATTCTGGATTTTCGGTATGTAAATTGACCGCCGGACTACGTCGACTAACCAATGAGGCGGCTCTGCCTCCGTTATGAAAGTCAATCCATCCTCGAATGCGAATTTATTATTATCTTTAATATTTATTACTACGCGTGTAAAATATATTATGTGTATGATATGTATGATTTAGCATATCAGCATTTCCAGCGTGCGCACGGTGCAAGAATTAATTTATCGATCCATGTCGTCTCGAGGAATATTTCCCGGTCGTGTTCACATCCCTCTCCCCTCTCCCTCCTCTCTCACTCTCTCTCTCTCTCTCTCTCTCTCTCTCTCTCTCTCTCTCTCTCTTTTTCCGTCTCCGATCCATCGTCGGTTTTCGCCGCTGACCTCGGCGAAATTTCGCGCGCCGACAGACAACGAGAGGCCAGCCTCTCGAAAAAAGGAACGTGCGCTGTATAAAGTTAAAAAGGACTTTCGTATGCATGCCTGATGGCTCGTTGAAATGGAACGCTCGCTGTAATACAATCGTCGTATTTGCGAGAACCTAGAGTTCCACGCTCACTCCCCGCTCGCGCCCTCGTTCACCAATCGCGCGCTCGCCCGCTCGCGATATCTTCGGCGCCTCTTGGTCCGTTCTTCAGCATCTACACGACCGCTAGAGAACGGATCGTGAGACTGAGAACGAAAACTTTTAACTATTCCCAACGTACGTCGCTCCCAGTGGCTGATAGAGTGGCAGGGGTGAAGGAGGGGTGAGCGGGGAAGCAGGTAAAAGGAGGAGGAACAGCAAGGAGGAGAAGAAGAAGAGGAAGAAGAAGAAGAAGAAGAAGAAGAAGAAGAAGAAGAAGAAGAAGAGGAATAAGAAGGAGAAAAAGAACCAGGAGGAAGAAGAAGGAGAAAGAGAGGAAGAAGAAGTAAAAGATGAAGAAGCAGACGTTGAGGGAGGCGGGAAGGAGGCAAGAGAGGTCAGCCTAGCCTCATGACCCTCATCCCGGTGGATGATAATAGCATCTCTCCGGTCATGCCGCGAGGATGAGAAACACACAACGACGTAAAGAGTACCTTCCAATCCGCGCGCGCCGCTCTCTCGTGACGAAGACCAAGCAATCCCACGACTCACTGTGAAGCGGAGAAGCCGGCGTTCCAAAAAAGGATCTAATAGTCATCTGACCTGGAAGAGAAGCCGGGATTTCGCGAGCGCGGCGGCAGCGGCGACGGCGGCGGGAGCGGGACGCCAGCGAATTCCGCGAGCCTTCCACGAGGTTGAGGCATACCACTCTCGGGTCATAAGAGTCGCGGCGGATTCGCTTGGCTTGTTTCGAACTTGCACCGTCGTGATTACTTTGGGCTCGTGTGATCGGAGATTCTTCAGGAACCCGAGACCCTAACGGGACGGCTGTAACTATCGAACGAGGATCAGGAGACGAAACGTTATTTCGTCGGCGGGCAGTGAGAGCAAGCGGCGATGATGTGATGGTTGTATCCCGGCCGAAACAAACCTCGCCTCGCTGATAATATTGGACGTTGGCGTTACGAATGTTACACGGTTGGTAAATTAATTTTGATACGCATACAGAGACGCGGATACGCACACACGTACGCAAACACAACATACACGGCGCGTAACATCGATCGCCGGGGAGCGCGTGCGGAATTGTCAGAGTGTTAATATAGACATATTATCAATGAACTAGTCGGTTACCGGCGTGTGTATGACAATCCATCCGTTTCAATCAATGAGGACGTCCGTCCAAAGTAACGGATCGCGCGCGCTGCGTACTTGAAATTTTTCTAGGGTCAACTAACGTCAGTTTGTTCGGACAGATGACATCTCCGTTATCGACGCCATTGTAACACACTCATTTTCCGAGCCGATTCTCTCTCTCTCTCTCTCTCTCTCTCTCTCTATCTCTCTCCCCCTCCGCCCACCTTCCTCTCTTTCTCTCCCTCGAGCGACGCGCACCGACGACCGCACACGCACGCAAGCGGAAGACTGTCAATTCAGTCAATACCGGCCGTGCAGCAACGAAACACATTACTTAATCTAGCGACATGTCCCCACGCGAGGGTCTCCATTTAAAGCGCTCGATGATGCAGCTAAATTCGCGCATGTTTGCGCGATAAACGATCCGCGCAACGCGGCGTTACACGAGCGACAAAATTAATGAAACGTCAGCAAAATTCGAACGCGACGTCTGTTGTTGTCTATCTGAGCCAAATTCCTAATGAGCACGCCGGCGTCCGTTTACATCTCGACCTGCATTTTGCAGAGCAATTTGACGGCTATAATTCGGAGCGTGTGGCGAATTACGTATATTCACAGCAAAATGATATTTTTAACTTGTGAGCTCTTCTCACGATTTAATCTCACGCGGGCTTCCTGATGTGTGCGTTTCTCTCTTGTTTTTTTTTTACACGAGTTTAGGATTTACGAACAAAGTTTGACAGAGAAATAGAGAGAGAGAGAGAGAGAGAGAGAGAGAGAGAGAGGGAGAGAGAGGGAGAGAGAGAGAGAGAGAGAGAGAGAGAGAGAGAGAGAGAGAGAGAGAGAGAGAGAGAGAGAGAGAGAGAGAGAGAGAGAGAGAGGGAGAGAGAGAGGGAGAGAGAGAGAGAAAGTGTGAGTAGGAACATGTCGGTTCGAAAGCCGAGGCTTTATTGTCTGTTAGGCGCAGCACCAGGAGGTCTCGCGGCGCGTTCGTGAGCACGTAGGGTCAGTAGCCTCGGGCGTGTTTGCAACGAGCCGCTGCTCCGTGGCCTCGCAAACTGGTTTAGCAAAAGTCAAGATCTAGATCGCGACCTTCTTGCAGTCGCGCTCGTGTTCTTCGCGCTTGCGAGTTCGCGAGACCGACGGGGCGCGGTGAGACGGATGGCGATGCGACGACACGTAACGAGGCACGTAACAAGTACGATAGCAACATATGTATACATCTCGAAGGAGGAAGAAGGAGAGAGGGGAGAAGCGTAGCGGAAGAACTATTTCCCGTGTCAATAAACGCCGCTGAGTATGAATGAATACTCAGGGGAGGCACCGAACGCGATCCGGTCGCGAGGACGTGACGGGCTCGACGACGGATAAAAATACAAACGATCAACTAGAAATATACGGCCGGCTCGCGGAGGCTTCGATCGCGTCTCGGCGCGATAACAACG